GAGAGAGAGAGAGAGAGAGAGAGAGAGAGAGAGAAGAAAATGAAGACTGAGGGAGAAAGAGCAAAAGAACGGATTGGTAAGAAAGAAGAGAGAGAGAGAGAGAGAAAGAGAGAGAGAGAAAGAAAGTGAAGGAGAGATGGCGCAGGGCGGATGAGTGCTCTTTAGTTGACCTTGAGCTGACTGGAAACAATGAACACTGCATTGTCGGAAACGGACAATAATTCAGGGCTTCCTGTTCTTTAAATGATAGGATATTTACAAGAAAAAAAATGAAGCTCGGATTCCGAATTCCTCATTATTGGAATTAGAAGATGGGTCTCCAACACTATCTACCATTCCCTTTCATCCGTCACTCCCCTATGTTTCACCACAGCCCTTTGTTGTGCCACGCCCCTTTGTTCTGCCACGCCCATTTGTTGCGACACGCCCCTTTGTTCTACCTCGAGTCTATGTTCTACCACTCTCTTTTATTCTGCCCAGCTCATTTATCCCTCGTTCACCTCTTACCATTCCTCGCAGCGCACAGGGATTAATGAATCCATGAAAATCATGTTCTTTTCTGGTTCTTTAACGACACACAACAGTAAACGTCTGTCCTAGGAGTCATCCAATCAACAAAATGTTAACAATAGATTTTAAAATGGGAGATGAGATAAACGCTCTGTTGTCGGCAAGAGGTCTTTGACCGTTTCCCGTTTTCTTTTGCTCTGTTGAAACGATAAAAAAATATATTAATCAAGTTTAGAGTAAACCACATCCCTGGCTACCTCTATACTTCCCAGAGTTCAGTTTCGGACAATTTCCATCATATTCAGCGATTTGTACGCCCGAGCAAAGCCTAAACGAAGGAAAACGCCGTCTACAAAAAGCTCAAAGGGGTTGAAAAGTGCCCCCTTTTGTTCTTGTTGAACAAAAAACATCCGTAGTGTTCCGCTGTGAGCAAGTTTCTTGAGGACGCAATCACGTGATTAAATCGATACCAATCAGGAAGACCTTGGATATTCGCCTCAGGGCTCTCTGGGCTGGGAAAACGCCATGTGAATCTAAAGGAGTTTTGTAACGCTCCCAATCTGGCCACCTTGAATAGTCTTTACAGGGTCCCATAAAGAGTTCCGGCCAATTGTTCAAAACTAGCCTGGTCGATGGGGTGTGTCTTGTTCTTTGTGTTGCTTGGTATGGGTTTAACCCCCTACCCCTCATGTTAAAAAAAATGCATTTTTTTTAGACCTAAGATCTTTTTCTTGTTGCTTGACCAATACTCTGGCGGAGAGAAAAATACAGTCAAGTCTGCTTTAACGACCACTTGTCCAAGACAATCACCTGTACAAACAACTACTTCTAGCATATCCCCTGGAGTTTTTATTTTCTAAATCATAATGACACTGTCCAAGAGATGACAATCAAGAATGAAGATGAACACTTTTTTGCTCGACAATGGAAGGTCATCTTATAGAGACTACTGTACTCCACTTAGAAAAGGATCCTGTTTTGCATTAATCTGTTCAGTCTATAAACATAAAAATGTGGCCCGACAGAGCAAAAATATAAACACGCCGGTTCAAACTGTCTCGCAAACAGTCTCTTTTGGTGGCTATTCGTGTTAGTCTCCATCGAGGAAAACAGTTTAGGATGGTCTCCTTTAACGAACGTGGTTCGAATTGATAATTTTGTCAACAGGTGGAGCTGTTTTGAATGAGACAGAGACGGACGCAGGGGTAGGGGTGAGGGTGGGGGTGGGGGTTGGTGGAGCAAAAATGGAACAAAATTGGATTTCTTGAAAGATCAGATTTATTTTCGTCGAAAACTTGTCTCAGATGGAGTAGAAATGGAAAGCATAGAGAAAGAGGGAAAGAGAGAGAGAGAG